GGGCCCAGAGCCACCGTCCCACTGGAGCACCCGCTCACAGCCTCTGCAGCATCGGGCTCATTCACTGATTCGCCCACCAGCAAACATTTCCTGCGTGCTGCCCCGTGCCCCACCCTGTCCTGGGCGCCGGGGATACCGAGGAGGGGTGCGCGGTCCTTGCCTTCAGGGCAGACCCCCGGGGCCCACAGGGGCAGCCCGGCGGCCCCGCGCAACAGAATCCCAGCGCCCTGCCGCAGGTGAGCGCAGCGGCGGGGACCTGCCAGGCCGGAGGTTTCCGGAGGTAAAGCTGGATGCACCTGAGCTCCCATCCCGGCAGACACCAACGTGGGAACCGGGTGCCCGGGCGGAGAGCGCAGAGGCCGGCGGGGCTGCTGCCTGCGGGGTCCCCGCGCTCCCAGGCCGGCACAGGAGGAGGAGGAGGAGGAGGAGAAGGAGGAGGAGGAGAAGGAATGGGCGCACCGAGGACCGCTGACCCCGGGGCGCGCGGCAGCTGCGCGGGTGTCCCCGCGGGGGCAGTTAGAGGGGACGGTTGGGCTGGGTCTGGGGTGACTCCCAAGGGGAGCGGTGGCCCTGGGTGTGCGGGTTCCGCGGATGGCAGGGCTGGAGGGTGAGGGGGAAGACGGAGGATGCGGCCGGGAGGATGGGGATGAGGGGATGGACGCGGGGGAGGCGCGGAGGGAAGGGCGGTGCCGAGCGCTGGACCAGCGGGCAGACCGAGGGCCTGCTTCTAAGGGGTCCCCGGGAAGGGAGGGCGGAGGGCAGCCCGGACCCGCTGCCCGCGGACAGGCCTCCCTACCTGCTCTCCGTCTCACGTGGGCGACCGGCGGCGGCGGCGGCGGCGCCTCGCACCCCCCGGAGCCTGCGCTGCAGCCGGCAGGCCGGCGCCCCCTCCGCTGCAGGCGGGGTGGTGACGCCCGGCCCCCCTGCAGCTGCGAGGCCGATGGTCCGGTCTGGACGGCCCTCCAGCCGCCCCTCCGGCCGGCGCGCGGGTCGGACCCCCTGGGCTCGGGTGCTCGCCGGCCTCTCGGGCTCGGGCCGGGCAGGGCGCAGAGTCACGCGCGGCGCTTGCCGCGAGGGGAGCGGCCGGCCCGGCGCTGGCCCCGCCCCCTGCGGCCGCGCCCCGCCCCTGCGGGTGGTGTTCGCCGGAGCGGCTGGGTGGGCCGGAGCCCAGCACCCCGGGCGCAGGCCCGCCGGGTTCCCAGGCAGGGGCACTTGCTCAGCCTCCTCCGCCTAAACCGGGGGATGAGCAGTCCTGCCCAAGCTCTCGGGGAGAGAGGGTGGGGAAAGGGATGGAAAAACAACAAAACTAAGGCCCGATCGCAGCTGAGACCGCTTGAATCAGCATCCCTGGGGTGGTTGGTGCCTAGGCTGTGATAATGTTGGAAGCACCCCATGGATAAGCCAGGGTTAAGCAGCCCTGGTAAGACCTGGAACTGACAGACTCTCTCCTTTGACCAAAACGGTGGCCAGGCCCTTCTGAGACCCCTGCTGGGCTTAGGCTGAACCGCGGGCTTCCCTCGCGGGCCTCGGAGAATCCAGCTTGAGCGAGGATCCTGGGAGGTCAGTTGAGTAAAGATTCCCCATCCTCAGTATTGGACCACCCTGAATATCTTAGCACCCTGGGCTGGCGCCAGCGAGAATGCTGTTGAATCAGTCTAGCAGGAAACCCTCTCCCCCCCGCCCCTCCCCCCCCACACACATTTCCTCTTAAGTGATTGCTATGGTCTGGGTGCTAGGTTCACATGAATGTTAAACCAGGGGCTATGGCCCAAAATTCATATGTTGAAATCCTAACATCCGAAGGTGACAGTATTTGTAGATGAGGGCCCTTTGGGCTGTGATGAGGTCGTGAGGGTGGAGCCCACATGAGGAAGGTCAGTGCCCCTGAAGATCTCATACAGCTGCCCTAGCTGGTTTGGCTCACTGAAGGGTCCTGGGTTCGATTCCAGACAAGGGCACATGATTGGGGGTGTGAGGTATGCAGGAGGCAGCCCATTGATGATTCTCTCTCATCACTGATGTTTCTTTCTCTTCCTCTCCCTTTCTGAACTCAATAAAAAGTGTCTTTAAAAAAAATCTCACAGAGCTTCCTAGTCCAGTCCTACAAGAAGTCTGCAACCTGCGTGGAAAAGAACCTACTCAGCACTCTGATTTTGGGCTTCCAGCTTCCAGAACTGAAAAATTATTATTGCTTATAAGCTACCCAATCTGGTAGCATTGCAACAGCCTGAATAGAGGAAGACTACTTTTCTTTCTTTTTCTGTTGTGGTTTTTAATCCTCACCTGAGGATATTTTCTCCACGGGTTTTTTAAAGAGGGAGTGGAAGGGAGTGGGAGAAACAGAACCATCGAGGTGAGAGAGACACGGTTGGTTGCCTCTAGCATTCACCCAGAAGGGGCCAGGGATGGAGCCTGCAAATGAGGTATGTGCACTTGTTTATAACTGAACCTGCAGGTCTTCGGACTGTGGACCGATGCTCTAACTCCTGAGACAAACTGGCTAGCGCAAGACTAATTTTGCATTCACTGACTCCTACCTTTGTTCCTTGGCTATAAATCCCTATTTGTCCTTGTTGGGATCTGAGTTGAGCTCAATCTCTCCTCCACTGCAAGACTTCATTGCAGTGGTCCCAAAACTTATCACAATAGTCCCCCTTAAATAAAGTCTGTCTTACCATTTAAAAAAATATATATATTTTATTGATTTTTTACAGAGAGGAAGGGAGAGAGCTAGAGAGCTAGAAACGTCGATGAGAGAGAAACATCGACCAGCCGCCTCCTGCACACCCCCCACCGGGGTCTTACCATTTTTAACAAATGTCATGAATAATTTTTTCTGTAACAAAACTCATGCGCTTCCTACTCCTTATGGTAGACAGAGTGTGTGTGAGACATCGAGGATCCTATTGTCTCCTTCTTCTAGCTAAAGGCAGGGTGGGGGCAAGCGGTCATTGAGCAAATAGTTCAAATGAGGGATTTGATTTCCAGAAACGTCTATTTTCTACCAAAGTTAATTTGCAGACTGGAAACAGGATTCATTTGCATTGTTATGGGCAGAAACATCTTGCATTGTTACTAGTATTTTTAACAGAATTGCAATGTGGAAATCTCAATCTAGTTGGAATGTGAATATTGAATTAGAGGAAGGTAAAAAAGAGGCAGTTAGGTAATTATGATGAGAAGTGAGAGGGCCTGAATTAGGGCTGTGTCTGAGGGGTTAGATAAGAGGAGATAGATTCAAGAGAGCTTAGGGTGTGGAATCTATGGGACTTGAATGAAGAGTGTCATTGGCGGTGAGGTCGGGGGTAGAGTAGAGCCAATGGTCTAGGATGACTCCAGGATCCTTTAAATGCCCGATAATAAAATGTCCAAATTTTAACTTGATCCAGAAGACATGGGAAGCCCTTAAAGGATGCAAAGATGAGGTTTGACATGATCAAGTTTGCCTTTCAGACAGATTATCTGGGGAAGCTTTGGACAGGAGAAAGCCAAGAAGATGAGTTGGGAGATTTTATGCAGCAATACAGGCAAGAGATGATTAAAGTCTGACCAAGGTCAATGGCAGTAACAATGGAGGGAAAACAAGACATAATAAAGATGGAGAATTCACATGACTTCATGACTTATTAGACATCAGACTAGAGGAAGACTAGAGGATGACTCCCATTATTCTGCCTTGGGTCACTGGAATGATGGTGGTAGCATACTGGGATGAAATTGGGGGGGGGGGGGGATGGTAATTACAGATTGGTGGGTTGAGTGTGAGTTTCTTGAGATTCAACTAAGTGAAGGGTCTCAATCAGTTTAGTAAATGGATCTGGATTTCAGAAGAGAGGTATTGGTTAGAGAGAGAATTGAGAATCTTTTTGTTGGTAAACGTATCATCAGTTTGGATAAAATCAGTCAGGAAAAGTGTACAGTGAAGGATGAGCAGGGAACCTGGTGCTGAGCTTTGGGATCAATGTTTCACGGTGTGCTAAGAGGATAGAGCTATATGGTGAAATACTGTGGTCATTCTGAGGTCAAGAAAGAGTTTGGCAGCAGGAGGCAGAAGAGTGGCATGGAGTTTTAAAAAGGAGAGAAAAAAGGGTAAGGGGGAGGGTGGTGGATCTGTGGATCCATGATATTGCTTGGACTTATGTTATTGTCCCTAGGGGCCCCAACAGACCATACAAATCTCTCCACTCCAAAATTAGCAATTTATTGCTCCACCAACATTTTTACAAACAATTTCCCAAGTAAATACAATTTATTCTCAAAATAATTTTATGGAATGAAGACAATTATGGCTATATCCCTTCAAGAAAATATTTAATCCTCTGAAATGTCTTCCTCCCAATTCTGAGGCCCAAAAAGGTATCAGTTTTTGGGTCAAAGGCATCAAAGAGAGAAGGCAAAATTTTGAGCTGTCTTTAAGGCAAGAACCACCTCCTTTTGTTGTTGTTGTTGTTTTGTTTTTGGTCCAGATACTCTCCTTCAGCTTCTTATGACCATTATTTTTACAGGTGTCTCCTCTTTCTGTTACCCAAGGCCAACAAAGACTCTTCCTGAATTCCCCAGACAAACCTGAGGAGGGTGCCTGAAAGGGACTGTTTGGTGGGGCGCTAGCAAGGTTAATGGTTGTCCTGAGTATGGAAAACAGGACCCTGAGTCAGGTTCTATTTTCTTTTCCCTCCCTTACACTGCCTCTCTCCACCCACCACTTCCACATTTGCTTGTCTGGACTAAAACTTAGAAGTGTTGATAGGAGGGAGGCCCAAAGTCACGTTTTTGTTTTGTTTTTTGGTTTTGTTTTGTTTTTGAAATGCAACTCTGACAGATATCTGGGAGCTCTTTCTTTACCTTACTTTGCCTTACCAGGGCACAGCCTCTGGGGAAGGGAGAGTGGAGGCGCAAGTTTATGCTGCTTTCCCAGGGTAACTAAGCCCTCCTTTCTAAGTTAGGTGAAAACAAGGGAGGAAGAGCAATGACTGACTCCTTTGGGGTTTCCCTAAGGGCCTCTACCTTCTGTAAGGACCTTTCCTGGACCGCTTGGCCTTCATAAACATGCCGGAAGTGATGAGGGGCCCAAAGCCCTGTTTGTGGGAGAACGCGTAGGCAGAACGTCGAAAGCCAGTCATTTTCATTTTACCCCGGACTGGGAATGTCAGTGGGTGTCTCAGGCCATGAATTGTGTCAAAAACCTACAGCCAGAGCAGGGGGACAGGGTTTTTATCCACAGAGGCAAAGGCAAAGAGGGTCATGAATTATATCTCAGTTGATTCCCCTGTTCCACTCACCTTATCCACACTCAAGGGCCATAACAGTGGTTTGAGAAACTGGTACCCAATGGCAGGCAACAGACAGAGGATCACACTGAGCATAATACTCAGCCACAGTTGTGGCACATTCAGAGTGTTCTTCGCCACACCTGCAGACAATGAGCCAGGAGGGGAAAGGCTGAACCAGAGCATAGAGGGAGGAGCTGTCGGCCAGAACTTAATACCTCTACAGCCCAAAGAAGGAAGTTGTTGATTTGGGGACAGTTTAGTCTCCTCAGAAATAATATAAATGCAAAAGGATTGCAGTGAGGTTCTTTTTACAGCCAAAGTCACTGTGAATCCACATGCCTTTGTCTCCCCCTAGAGGCCGGGCAGGACATGAGCGTTGGAGGTTGGTTATAGGAATCAGAGCATTGGACTGGACACAAAAGTGGGACAGAGGACTTTTGGAGGAGGGAAATGAATGGCTTGATAGAGGTGGGAGCCAGCCACATCTACATATATATTCTCCCTGTCCTCATCAGAATGAAAATGAGAGAAGGGAAATTAATATGGGAGATAATAAGGCAGGATCCCACAGTGAAAAGAATATTGGACTGGGAACCAGGAGACCTAGGTTGAGTCATTTAAAATTAAAAAACCTTTAGTCTCTAAAATGGTGCTATTAATTCTTGCTCTGACTACCTCAGAGGATGCTTGTAAAGATCAAATTAGCCGAAACCAGTTTAGCTCAATGGATAGAGCGTCGGCTTGGGGACTGAAGGGACCCGGGTTCGATGCCGGTCAAGGGCATATACCTTGGTTGCGGGCATATCCCCAGTAGGGGGTGTGCAAGAGGCAGCTGATCGATGACTCTCATCGATGTTTCTAACTCTCTATCTCTCTCCCTTCTCTGTACAAAATCAATAAAATATATATATATATATTTTTTAAAAAAGATCAAATTAGGTAAGAAATTGAAAATGTCTTCAAACTCTATAAGGCAATAAAATAGTTCCCCTAACAAGATTCTGAGTCCTTTTAGGGCAAGGGCCATGTCTTGCTCCTGTCTATCTCCATAGAGCCTAACACATAGTAATAGCTTCTCAGTAAACATTAATGTCCCCTCTCCCCCCTTCCCCTGGACACACACTGAACAGAGCCTTACCTAGGAATTGGAAGACATTGGGCAATATTATGCACAAGCCATAATCACTGTACAGGAAGAATAAGATGCAAAAGTAGAAACCCAGGCTACCCCAGGTGAATAAGTGATTTATCATCGTCCAGTAGGTTGTCTCCAGGGCAATCTGAAAAACACCCTCTTATGTGCAATATTCTGTAAACCTGGGACCTATCAGCCAGTTCCATTCTCCAATTCTACACTAGAGAATTCTCCCTTCCCACCTTCCCTCCTTGCTTCCCTCCCTCTCTTCCAGAGAGCCTCCCCATCCAATGCCCTTACCCCCACCACTACCATCCACACCTGCATTGTGACCACCCAAAGCAAGGAGGTCTGCACTATCAGGGAGAAGGACTGGTAGTCAGAGATTTCCTTCCCATCACTGCGCACTGAGTTGAAAACGGTACCCATAGGTATAAAGAACAGCACGAAGGAACTGTAGATCCCATGTACTAAACACTTCAAAAATTCCTTCTTGTTGAAATAGAGGTTGAGTTGGCCTGGCTCATACAGCTCTGGGAAGCGTAGGCTCCATGTTTCATTCACATCCTGGAAACACCAGAAGGTAAGGAGAAAGGCTCAGGAAGGTCCCATCTCCATCAGAGTGAAGGCTTCTCCCCACCCTGAATCTGCTGCCAGCTGCCTAGGAACTTCCTTATGGATTACTGGAGACGTGGAACCAGAGTACAGATCAGTGACCACAGACACTGCTTGAAGTCCTACACTCTAGGCAAGGATCTAGTTGGTGGAAGAAAGCTAGGAGAAGGTTAAGATGGTGGGAAGGACATAGAGGCAATGAGGACTGGGGACTTTAAGAAAAGAGGCAATTAAGATTGGGATAGCTGGAAGGGAGGATTGGATCTTGGGGTGGGGGAGCAGTTGGGATATGAGTCCCCAGTTTTAAGTGTTCCCAGTGGGAGGAGAGGGGGAAGCCAACGGGGACCAGAGAGTTGATTGGAGGTGACGTGAGAGGCATCCTGTGATGCCTCTCACATTCCCATGGCTACTGGTGACTCAGGTAAGAGGATTCTCTACGTGGATGACATTGGATCACCCTTTTCTCATAAATCTGAAACTCTGGATAACAAAGTTTGGGGCTTATTTTGAGAGGTTGTGGATCCCTAGAATTAGACCATTAAAGCTAGTTAGGACTGTTGAGTGACCCAACTCATCCCTCTTGCTCCTCTGAGGCTGGCAGCTACATCATGGAGAATTTCCTTCCTACCCTGCTGGAGATTGAAAACCATGACTCCATGATGTCCTCTTTCAGCTACTTTATTCCTCTTTGGAGACTCCTTTTCTATTCCATGTGCCCAGGACTGGAGGTTGAGGTAGAAGAGGAGAGAGAGGTAGGGCACCAGGACCTCCAATGCCCATGATATTTCTACAGAGACAGATGGCTCCCTTGGGCTGACTCCCTATAATCCAAAGGTATCATACCCAGACTCCCATGCTTAGTCTTCAAGAACCCTCATCGAGGTCTCCTGCATTGGCTTATCTCCTTATCTCTGTATGGGTCTCTCCTCTCTTAAAGTCCCTTGCTTTATCTAGTCCTGCCCCAATGACTATTTCCTTTCACTACTTTGGTATATACTCAAATTATTATATAGCACAATTTCCATGTGACTCTCTACAAAGATAAAATGCACACAAGAAAGCTTGGATTTCTAAACTGATTATTAGTCTATGTGGAGGAGGATTCTTTGTCCCATGATACCTCTCCAGTGCTGAGCCCCCTTCCTTGCTCTGGAACTTATTCTATTTACGCATATATAGCTCATTCTTTCTGTCCTCCTCACTCTTGGGAATATTCCTCAAGGACCCAAGGGTTTTAGCTGTGACGAAGGCCTGCTGTTAGTCTTACCTGGTCAAATAGACTCAAGCCCAAGACAGGGAGGCAGGTGTAGACCAGGTTGTAGAAAGTGATAAACCAGGTATCATAAACTGTCTGGAAGGATACCAAGGCGATTTATTAGATTCTCTTCTCCGAAGTCCCAGCTCCATCTCCCAAGTCCCAGGCAGCCCCTTCCCCACCCCCCACCCCACCCCCAGCCACCTTCCCCCTCTCCACTTATCTATCATTACCCTAATTTAGAGTAGGATTTGAATTTTAAAAATCTGAGACGGCTGACTCCAGTCTCTATTGGTCCTTCTCTACCTAGAACTCTGGCTACCAGGCTGAGGCAAGGCTATGTCAAGTTTGTTTGTGGCCAACCTTCTGAGGTTGATTTGGACCAACCCTATTACGACTGGCACTGCCTCCTCCCTGCACAGAAAGCCCCCGGAGGGTGCGAGAGAATGCTAGCTATAACCCTCAGGAATGTAAACCTTAGGGATTTTTTCTTTATCTGCTTTATGGCATTCAGTAGCTTCTATAACACTGAATACTTTCTAACATTGGCAAGCAGGATAGGAGAGACCTACTGACCCTTCCCCTATCTAGGTGCTCCATCTTAGGGCCTAGAGAGGGCTCCTTTCCTTACTAGCCACAAGAGGTCAGCAGCAACACATACATGCACATAACTACACCTGCCACAAACCAGACCTGCTTTGTTAGACGCCACAGGTATACAAGTCTACTACTGTCTGCGGACCAGTCCTTTTCTCCTGGAACCAAAGGTAACGGAGGTAGCAGGGCTCTCCCAAGAGAATTGTTCCCGAGGTTGTTTATCTTGGGAATCTTTGAGAGCCTCTTGAAAAACTTCTCATAGGAAAAGGGACTCCTTGGGGAATATCAAAATCCAGGTATCACCGTGGGAGAGATTTCATATTCAAATGGGGAATTAATTCATTAGAGCAGATGTAGATGCACAAGAAAACAGACAGGGCTTGCTTAACAACATTTCACTGAAGAAGCTATAGGTTGGGGGTGTGACTAACCACCATGATTCTGCCCAGTTAGAAATGTATGAGTTGTTATACCACCCCTTTTTCTTTCTTTCGTCTTTCTTTCTTTCTTTCTTTCTTTCTTTCTTTCTTTCTTTCTTTCTTTCTTTCTTTCTTTCTTTAAAATATATATATTTTATTGATTTTTTTACAGAAAGGGAGAGAGATAGAGAGTTAGAAACGTCGATGAGAGAGAAACATCAACCAGCTGCCTCTTGCACACCCCCTACCGGGGATGTGCCCGCAACCAATGTACATGCCCTTGACCAGAATCGAACCTGGGACCTTTCAGTCCGCAGGCCGATGCTCTACCACTGAGCCAAACCGGTTTCGGCTATACCACCCCTTTTTCATCTGCAGAACTGTTGTAGGCAGTTAGATAGGCACAAGCTAAGTAGAAATGATAGCCTAGGTGTAGAGAGTGCCTAGCAATGGGCAAAAACTACAAGCCCTTGCACAACCACTCCCTTAACTATTAATTCCTGGAGATGACATCTAGCTTTCAGCTGCGTTTCAGTTTCAGAGCCAGAAGCAGATGGAATGACTGATGCCATGGCTGACATCAGGACCAGCTGCATTGACTAATGACCCCCTCTGCCCTGGTGCTGACCTATCTATCAGTGGACACCATGACGCTGAGGAGACACACCTGGAAAGCTGATGAATCTACCTCCCCCAAAAAAAACCCTCAGGATGGAGGACCCAGCGGGGATCTCTCTGGAGCACACCTGAGCCCCCCTCCCCCGTACTCCAAGAGCCCTTCTCTGTCTCTCTAATTCGATCCTGAGTCCACTTCTATAGCTCATTACTGCTACCTCTGAGACATTCTAAATTTCTCCTATAGTTAAAAAAAAAAAAAGCATTAGAACAAAAATAGTGCATGGGTTTTTTTTTTGTTTTGTTTTGTTTTTGTTTTTGTTTTTTCTTTTGGAGGGGGCTGTTGGATTGGGGAAGGAGAAATAAAGGGAAGCTGTGTTTCCAAGTATGGCTATAGGTGAACACCATAACCAGCCTGCTGGCAAGACCCAGAGGCCCCTTGAGGCTCAGCCTGTTCCAATAAAGATTACTTTGAATGCTTAAAAAAAAATAGGAAGAAAGAAAAACTCCCGTTACATATGTTTGGAAACTCTAGGTCTCTGTCAGG